GGAGAACGTGGGGGCCGGCCCCCGCCTTTCAGACCTCTCTGTTCCAAACTGCACTGTGACAAGGAGCAAAGTGAAGGCCAAGGTGACAGATGGAGGGGCGAGTGGAGCAATTACAGGGAGTGGAGCCGGGAGGTCGATATGCGAGGCAGCCCAAAGATTAGTTTCCATTCTGCAGAGGCGGAGCCGTTCAGTCACATCTGCCCACATGGTTGTGTTTTACTTGAGGGTCAACATTCACCTTGAAGCTCGCTTTGATCCCTATCCTCTGTAACCACGCGGTGCCCCTCTCCCCCACTCCTTCTTCTCACAGTTTCAGGTTTCTTATTTCACCGTTGACTTAAATTATCATTGTTCAAGTTAGATAGGAATATTGATCACCCTGGTCAACTTAAATAGGATAATTACCTTTTATTAGAGCCAAGAGAAACACTAATGACGCCCTTTTTCTTTAACTCATTGGCTGCCAAAGACGTCTATAGACGTCTTTTATGTTTTTCAACGAGAGTGGCTGGGGGACGATCTGCTAAAGCTTGTCCGTAAATATCGGCTTCTAGACAGAGTATGTACCAACAAAATGACCCTCTAGGGGGCAGTGCCACTTTTGATGGGAGATGAGCATAGACTGTAGGCAAATAAAAGGTAACGGTTCGATATGAGAGAACATGTCGCCGGTGAGACGCAAGTCCAGGAAGAACGGAATAAGGTAGAAACAAAAAATGTTTTCCTGATGAAAGAAAAGAGTCTACTCTTTCTTTTGGTGTGTTCGGTGTTTACATAGTCATAGCACAAACTATTCTGTGGCTCTTGAAAAATGCTCAAAAAACTCTGGCAGTATGGGACTCTGTTCTGAAAATGGCTGGCAGTCAGTGAGTTAAAATCAGCTGTATATGATATGCTCTTCCGTTTATACTAAAGTTTTAACTATGATGAGGTTCTTTGGATAACTCGGATGTGCTTGTAATCAAAGGGTCAATCAACTTTTTACTCGCCTAATTGCAGGAATATCTGCCCTAAATGTTGTGTGTGTGTGTGTCTGTTTGGTGTTGCAGCAGAGGGCGTGCCCCAGGTGTTTTACTTCGGGCCCTGTGGGAAATACAACGCCATGGTTCTGGAGCTGCTGGGCCCCAGTCTAGAGGACCTGTTTGACCTTTGTGACAGGACCTTTTCACTGAAGACTGTCCTAATGATAGCCATTCAGCTGGTAAGTTTGGAGTGTAACGTTTTTTCTATTTCATTTGTTTTAATATAATAGTCCCTATTGACTTGTGTAAATTGATTAAATGTTAAATGGGCTGTTGTATTTATTACCTTTTAGGGTTTAGTGATTTCTTATCTCACACCAAATCCTTCAATTTCACAGTTGCAGGTTTTATTTATAATTCTTATTGCTTTTTTTTTATGAATGTAATTGGAAGTTTGTTCTGTGGGTGTTTTCCCCCACCTCCACACAGTATGTTATATAAAGGAGCAATGTGGAGTTTAAATCAATTTCTCATCAAAGATTCTTTGCCAGACTTTCATTTATTTTTATAAACCCCTTATAAAAGTGGTCAGTTATTGAAAATGACACTTTTTTGGCCCCTAAATTCCCCAAAGGGTTGAAAGTAAAACAGATGGAGGAACTTAGATGGAGGAGCTTTTTGGTTTTCTTTCTTAAGCGTCAGAATGCACCTCACAGGCTTTCTTATCAGGAGGACTTTGCCCAAAAATGAGGTGTTGAAAGCTTTGGTGGATACATACTTGTGTTAGTATTTTTTCCCAAGCCTTCTGGATCTATAACGAACATTCATACACCAGGATGGAGGACAGGTTTTGTTCCTTTGGCACCAAAATGAAACGAGAAATGGAAGCAGACGCATGAATTCCCCTCTAAAAACTTGCTCTGTTCCTTCAGGTTGTCCAAATAAGGGCACCGGTGGTTTGAAGTGCATGTCGATGAGAGTGGGTGACGTTATTTGCTGCCCATGCAGGGTCCTGTTTGTATGAGGGAAATAAAGTAGAGTTTACTGAGTTTAGTCTGTCCAAACCCTGCCTGCGTTCTGTGATAGTGTGACAGTCTAGTATTCCTAGAGCTGTGGAAGCTGGATCTGTGATTGGGAGTTACAGCCACTGTTCATAGTCTTATTGCTGTCATAACTCCTGTCATTATCATTAGTCTCAATGTAATTGCCATTTTACATCCAGTCTATGTGTTAATGTGTTGGCTGCCTCCCTCTGTCTTTCTCTCACCCCCGCCCTGAGCCATAGTTCTGCTCCAGGTTTCTGCCTGTTAAAAGGAAGTTTTTCCCTCCCTGTGTCGCCTAGTGCTTGCTCATGGTGGGAATTGTTGGGTTTCTGTAATTAACTTCAGAGTAGGGTCTGACCTGCTCTGTTTGGAAAGCGCTGTGAGACAACTGTTGTTGTGATGTGTGGATATATATATAAAATTTAATTTAATTTAATTGATAGACAGGAGTCGGTAGCTTTCCCCACAGTTGGGTTGGTTGGAGAACCCCAGATCTCCTTGCATCTGACACATCTCAGCTCCTCCCATTCCAGCATAAATCTGAAAACATAAAGTCTGCCGTATTTTTGTGGTCCAGGTGGTTTCTGAGCAGTGAACAGGGACGATACCCCGACCGTCTGTTTTCATCCGAATGTCACGCATTCCCTCGATGTTTTGACTACATATCTAACTCTCCTGTATATATGCACTGTTTGCCTGTTCCCCTCCTCCTGCTAAACGAAAGGGTGTTATCTCTTGCACCATTGATTGCTGCTATTCTTGTTGAACACGGAGCTCACAGCGACTCCGTTTAGCGCGTTTCGTAAGCACAAAGCTCTCGCTGCTCTTTTGATGCTAATCTCTCGTGTTTGCAAAAGACTGCATCTGTTCTCGTCTCTGTCACTGTGACTGCAATAATAATAATGTGGTAAAAGGTCAGTTCTTCTATTATTTTCCTCATATCCATCATACTGACACAAAAGGTATTAAGCAGTTTAACTATTGCATAGTATTTAACTGAGGTTGGAAAAAGGCTGATATTAGAATCAGAGGACTGTAGAATTATCAGCTGTTGTTTTTCTTTTTCTTCTTTATTCCCACTTTGCTGATTGTGAGGCCTTTTCTTTAGAAATGGGACGTTCTGACTGATCCCTTTTTCTTTTTTTTTACTTCTCCTCTCCAGATTTCTCGGATGGAGTACGTGCACTCTAAAAATCTCATCTACAGAGATGTCAAACCTGAAAACTTTCTGATTGGGCGGCAAGGCAATAAAAAGGAACACATCATCCACATCATCGACTTCGGCCTGGCCAAAGAGTACATCGACCCCGAGACCAAAAAACACATTCCGTACCGGGAGCACAAGAGCCTGACCGGTACCGCCAGATACATGTCCATCAACACGCACTTAGGAAAAGGTGGGACTCGCTTCAAAGCATGCTTCTCTGTTTAATCTCTCTGGGGTTTTTCTGGTAAGAAAGACTTCTGGGCTCATACTGTTGAAGTTTTTCAGTGCAATGTGATCAAATCTGTTGATATAGAGCAAAGCCGGCGAGATGACCTGGAGGCTTTAGGCCATATGTTTATGTATTTCCTCCGTGGGAGTCTGCCTTGGCAAGGACTAAAGGTATGCCGAGCACATGGACATTTTCCAGAGTCTGTTGCAAAATCAGTCTTGTTTTATTTAACCAACACAGCTACAGTAAAAGAAGGATCCTGTAGCTGATTATTGGACCTGCTTCTCTCATCATTTTTTAGCGTAAAGTCCAATAATGGCATCAGGATCTTCACACACACCACAAAAAAGGCTCAAGCAAAGTGTACAAATTAGATATAAGTAAAATGAAATTACACGACTAGTTTCAACTTTGTATTTTAGATGCAGTCAACAACATATTTGACAGAAATTGAGACGTTTATTTTCTTAAGATACATTTTTATTCTGAATGTAGTAAACTGTAAACGCAAACGCTTGGGATCTGTTTCAGGCTGACACACTGAAGGAAAGATACCAGAAGATCGGAGACACAAAACGAAACACTCCCATCGAGGTTCTTTGTGAGAACTTCCCAGGTATGGCTGCGGACGACTGATCACATTCCCGTTAAAAAAGTTAAAACGCTATCCACGTCGGAGGCTCCAACCTTTGTTTTTTGCTTTGCTTCGTTCAGAGGAAATGGCCACATACTTGCGGTATGTGAGACGGTTGGACTTCTTTGAGAAGCCCGACTATGAGTACCTGAGGACGCTGTTCACAGAACTGTTTGAGAGAAAAGGGTACACCTTCGACTACACCTACGACTGGGTTGGGAGGCAGATAGTAAGTGGCCCGTCGTGAAACGTGTCGGCTTTGTTTATTTAGCCTTCTCGTATCGAAGCTCCCGACTTGGTTAACTCATTGACTGCCAGCCATTTTCAGAACAGAGAGTCCCATACTGCCAGAGTTTTTTGAGCATTTTGACTGATTTTTCAAGAGCCACAGAATAGTTTGTGCTATGACTATGTAAACACCGAACACACCAAAAGAAAGAGTAGACTCTCTTCTTTCATCAGGAAAAAAAAATAGTTTCTACCTTATTCCGTTCTTCCTCGACGTGCGTCTCACCAGCGCCATTTCTCTCATAGCGAACCATTGCGTTTTTTCTTATTTGCCTACAGTCTATGCTCATCTCCCATCAAAAGTGGCACTGCCCCCTGGAGGGTCAATTTGTTACTACATACTCTGTCTAGAAGCCGATATTTACGGACAAGCTTTAGCCGATCGTCCCCCAGCCACTCTCGTTGAAAAACATAAAAGACGTCTATAGACGTCTTTGGCAGCGAACGGTTGTATTTGAATTGACGTCTATAGACGTCTTTGGCAGCCAATGAGTTAAAAACTCTTTTTTGTGTGTGTGTGTCTCTCAGCCCACACCGGTGGGATCTGTCCACATAGATTCAGCAGCGTCTGCCGTCACGAGGGAGAGCCACGCCCACAGGGACCGGCCCTCCCAGCACCCGCCCGTCAGGAACCAGGTACGAGGGGGTCCTCAAACCGAACGTTGACCTGAGAGCAGTCTCCTTAAAACCTGACAGAGTCATCAGTCCACTAAAACTTCTAAAAACCATAAAAGATAGTATATTCAAAAGGAAAGTCATTCAGCGTCTCAGAAAAGGCGACTGAAGCAGAATAAGACATCAGTGTCCCTCAGGGTCTGGTCTTTTGGACGTTAACTGTGTCCATGAAGATCTCCCTCGCATCCACATATTTCTGACCTTTTTTTTTTTTGTGGAAGATCATCTGTAAATGAAAAATGCAAACAAACATTCACAGCTGTGTCTTTTTTCATTTCTATGTCACGTAAGTTGAATGAAAATGAGGCAAATGTTTGATCTTAAAGAGCTCCCATCCATTTGGCTTCAGGCTCTTTAGTTTCTGACTCCGTGCTCTGGCTGAAGCCTTGCTTTGATTTTTAATTTTTCTTTTAATTTGTTTTATCTTCTGTTTTTTAATTTCCCACTTTTTGGTTTTATTAATTTGATTTCTTCTCCATTTTTCATGCCGCCTTGCATGGTACCTTGCCACGCACAATGTCCACCTTTCCTCACACGATCACACTCACCTGTCCCATTGCACCCTCGATTCCACCACCCCCCAACCCCCCCACATCACCAAATGCAACCCAACTCCCGAGCAGACAGCGGTCTCAGATCGACGAGGAGCATGGGAGGTGCAGCCCACACGACAAGCAAACTCCTCCTATCTGACCTCCCACCTGGCAGCGGACAGGCACGGGGGCTCAGTGCAGGTACTCACCCCTCACCTGATCAGCCCCCCCCACCCAGCCTCCACGGACCAGATCTGTCTCATAGATGCAATCCCAGTTAGGGGTTAGACGCTTTACCTCCAAACGGCTGAGGACAGTCTACCTTTTTAGATATATAGATAAATATTAGTGTTTTCTTTCTCTGAGACCTCAATTGTAAGTTAATTTGCCTATTTTTATCGATGAAAAAGATATTTCTGCCTGGATTATTCAGGTTCGGTGAGATACTCGATTCCTATTTTACTCCTATTTGACAGTATTATTTGTTTCTCATACTGAAAAAAGCTAAATATCTCACATAAATCCTTCACAACTGAACCATCCCCCTAAAGTTGGCATCTTTAATAAGCTCAGTCCTGTGGTTCACATTTAACGATCACAAACAGTCAGCTACAGTGGGGGAAATAAGTATTTGACCCCTTGCTGATTTTGCAGGTTTGCCCCCTTACAAAGAATGCAACGATCTATAACTTTAATCATAAGTACATTCTAACAGTGAAAGACAGAATCCCAAAGAAAATTCCAGAAATTCACATCATATGAATTTATAAAAATTGATAACCATCTGATGAGGAGAAATAAGCATTCTTTGTAAGTGGGCAAAACCTGCAAAATCAGCAAGGGGTCAAATACTTATTTCCCCCACTGTATCTCATCATGACAAATGGAAGTAGTTCTTCAGGCCTCTGTGTGAGACAGATCTCCAGCCATCTACCCCCCCGACCCCCCTTACCTTTGCTGGGAAGTGTTATTTTGCTGCTTCACCATGTGCATGTCATCTGGTGCCGCCCACCCCAGATGCTGGAGTGTGATTTGTAGCTGTAAAAGATGGGGACTTTTTGATTTCTGGTCCTGCCACTCTTCACGATGCTTGGAGATGCCTTTTGCATGTCTGGATGAACTGGCTCAGCCAGCTGAATGCATGCTCTGTAGTAGCAAAGATCTAGTTTTAACTCTCTATCCAAAGACTGAGTGGGCCTGCTTTAAGTAGGTGTTGCAAAAAGGATGTTTTTTTTTTTTTTACAAAACGAGTATCAAATGGTTTAACCCACATTTTGGGGGTTGTAGATTACTTTTTATCACAGTGTCTTGCAGACATGGAGCATTATTTCAGTTTGATTGGTTTTAAATTTGAGTTGATAAGAAAAACAAAAATCATCATTTTGTTTGTGTGCTTTATCCTTTTCGGGACTTGTTCCCATAGCAAATTCAGCTCAGAAGCAAAATTAGGTTTAAAAGAAAGGTTTTCAATCCCTGCAGCATTCAAAAACTTTGTTCTGGACGCTTAGGGAAAGTGAGATTATTTCTGCTTGATTGAGGATTAGTACATCTATTCATTCCAATTGGACCTATTATTTAAAATAATCAAACTGTCTGATCCTACCTTTACTCCTGATGAAATGTTTCCTTGTGCAGTTTTTCCCCATGACTGAGTATACCTCTCTGTACATGTCAGATCTTTAAAGAAAAACAAGTGAAAATATGCTTTTTAACACAATTGTTTACATAAGATTTACAGTTTGATTTATGTCTTTTGAACACGTTTCTTTTGTAATTCTAATTCTAAATTGTGTTATCGCCTCATCACTGTTTACTGACACAGTCATATGTTGTTTATTGGTTTTCATTCGATCTTTAGTCTCCATATTTGGCTTTAAATAAACTGAATATGGAAAAAAATTAAATATCCAGTTGTTCCCACATTTGGTGGCAGAACCTGTGACACCCCAAAGAGAAACTATACGTCTTAATGAACCGTGACGTCTCTAAAGCCCCGGCCGGGCGTTCCTCCGGTCGCCATGGTAACGCCCGTCTGGTCTGCAGGTGGTCAGCTCGACCAATGGGGAGCTGAACGCCGACGACCCTCTGGCCCACTCCAACGCGCCCATCACGGCTCAGGCCGAGGTGGAGGTGGTCGACGAGGCAAAGTACGTACCCCCCCCCCCCTCTCTCTCTCTCTCTCTCTCTCTCTCTCCCCCACCACCATCCCTCTCTCCCTCTGTCTACTTCTGTCTCCCTCTCTTTTTCTGTATCTCGTGATCTCCTGTTGGGATTTGGACCTGTGACCCCCCCCCCCACAGTCAACGGTGGATTGACTGATCCCAAACTAACCAACAGGCTCTTTTTTTAGAGGATGTTTTGTCATTCTGTCATATTTCCGTTGATTATTAACCTGATTAGGAAATCAGTTAAAGGAAAAATCTCAGAAAAGTCAGTCATTTCTCTCTCAAACCAGGTTTGAAATAGAAAACACAGCCAGTCGTATCTATGTTTGATTTGACATACAAACTAACTGGAAAATAAGCTGTTTCTCTTATTGCTTAAACTGTAATAAAAGGAAAGCGTTTATTACCCCTCCGTGCCATCCCCGATGGTCATATATGCCATAAACACTTTTTAATGTGGCTTCTAAAGATGGCTTTCAATGATTGGATTCATTCATGGACTGAAATCTTCAGCTTTATAAGCGTTTTTTATTTATTTATTTTCATCCTTGCTGTTTAAAGTCAAATTCTTAATGCAGACTTCCCTCATCCATCTGAAATATCAGCATCAAACTAATTGGGACTCCGTGGTTTCTTTTTGGTCCAGATCTTTGTAATGAACGGGGTTAGAATCTCTGTACTTCTTCTTCCCTTTTCTAATCTCTGGACTTCTCCCTCTCTGTCCACCTGTGTCCCGTTGGTGTGTTCATGTTCCAGTCCCGCCATCGTACTCTGACTGTATTAATCTCTCTTTCTTTTCTCTTGACACCCTTTCCTCTCTCCTCTTCTGTAGCTGCGTGAAAATGCTCAACCTGTGGTGAGTCCCTCTCTGCTTGTCCGCATCAGACTCATGGGACAGGGAGTGGACCGGCCTAGGCTGGGCCCGGTGGAGTGCTTACTAAATTTAACTCCACTCTCACTGGTGTAGACACCTGTATTGTTTATTTATTTTTTACTGCATTATCTTATAAATGAGTTCTAAACGATGTTTTGTGCCGACTTTTGGGTTTAACACCTGAGCCGATGTCCCATAGAGGCAGAAATCTTAAACTTGAAGGACTCTGACGAGCTAAATGCAGTTTTTTTTTTTTGTTTAGTTTCTGCAACATTTCTAAGAAACGTATTCCTAGTCTCTGCCCTTTTACTTTTTTTTGTTTATTTTTCACTGCATTATCTTATAAATGAGTTCTAAACAATCTTCTGTGCCGACTTTTGGGTTTAAAACCTGAGCCATCGAGGCAGAAATATTAAACTGGAAGGACTCTCTGACGAGCTAAATGCAGTTTTTTTTAGTTCAGTTTTTGCAACATTTCTAAGAAACGTATTCAAAACTCCTTCAGAGACTTTCCAAATTCGAGTTCTTTCTGAGAGAATATCTGTTTCTGCTGTCAGAGGAGCCAGTCACTGTCCTGTTGTGGTCCACGGCTGTTTTTTTCCTCTCGTCTGTGTTTTTACTGTTTTACTGGCTCACCGTGTCTTGTGCTTTTTGTGTGCGCTGCTCCCGTTTTGCCTTCTGAAATCTTTCACCCTCCAAGTTGCTGCCGCCCCTCAATTAGATGGGGGGGGGGGATCAATAAGCATCAATAAGCATGCAGAGATGTGTTGGACTACAGTGGATCCACCACGTTCCCCGTGCCTCATTTATATCAAACCAATCCCCTAAAACAGTGTTTTTCAACCACTGTGTACACTAGTGTGCCGCGAGTGATGGTCAGGTATGCCGTAGAAAATCATCCTATTTCACCTAATTGGTCTAAAAAGATTTTTTGATAAGGAATTAATTATCTGCAAATAATATGCCGTTTTTGAGTGTCTGTGCTGTACTAGTGACTGGTGGAGTAATCATGTAATAATTCCTTATGACTAGATTTTGTATTTAATTTTGTATATTGAAGTGGACATGTTAAGTACAATTTGAAAGAAGAAATATAAAATATGATGAAAATACATTTTTGTGTTAAATTGATTCCTATTCAAGACACTTAAGATAAAATAAGAATAACTATAGTGTTACTATAGGCGGATACAGATTTGTTTGACATTTTTGGTTGGTGGTGTGCCTCGTGATTTTTTTTTTTCAATGAAAAAATGTACCTTGGCTAAAAAAAGGTTGAAAAACACTGCTCTAAAAAACCTAACCCGACCCGGTCTGACCGTTCCAGATTAAGCTCCTGGACATAATTCTGCTTGTGTTTGTTCTTTATTTTGCTTAATTTGAAGCTGCCACCCCCCCTCCTCTCCCTTTCTCCCCCCCACCACCCGGTCGTATCGACTAAATGTCCGTTTCCGTCTGCAGGTGCTGCTGTTTTTTCAAGCGAAAACGGAAGAAGAACACGCCGAGGCACAAATGATGACTCAGCGCCGGACTGATCCGTTCCACGCTTTGGTTGTGACTTCACAAATCCAGAAGGTCCCACCGGGAACGCCGGGGGGGAGTCCACGGAAAGATCATATTCCACATGTTTTCTGCTGATCTCTGACCAGTTTAAAAAAAGAAAAAAGGAGAAAAAAAAAGCTTTGTCGAGGTGTAAGACGCCTGCGTCTCTTGATGGCTGTCTCTTTTTTTTTTTTTTAAGTTTCCTCCCCCCCCCCCCAATTTATTGATTTTTTTTAAGCATTCAGATTTTTCGGGTCTTGTCATTTTTGGCATATTTTGGCTCTGGTGTCTGTTCCGTGTTTTTCTTTTTGTTTTTTTTTCCCCCAAAAAAGACAAACGCCCTCCTGTGGAGTCTCGTACCGTTTTGTTTTCTTCTCTTTACTCCACCTCCATGGAGCCCCGGCTCCGGCCCCCCCTCGGTTTGCTGACTCGGGCCTTTTTTTTGTTTTTTCTTCTTTTTTTATCGTGACGGTTCCTGATGCAGGACTGAATGTAAACCTGAGCACGCGGGGAGCCTGAACACTGCACTTTCTCCCCCCCCAAAAGAGGTCAGAGGACAGAGGGCCAGGCCCCTCCTGCACCGGTGCTCTCCGGGGAGGATTTCGCTCCACTCAAAACCACAACGCGGCCCAGAACACACTACAGTCCGGCGCCGTTCTGCCGCCGTCGCCGTGACGACGGGCGGAAACCTGCCGTTCGTAAGCTGGGCCGGGAAAAAAAACAAAACAAAAAACAACAAAATGCTATTTATGCTATTTATCTCTCAGTTGCCACTAGTTTTTCCTACTACTTCTTTAACATACACACTGAATGTATGGACGGAAAAAAGTAAACGACTTTTGGAGAGCTTGCAGTTATCTATCATGTGCATGGGAAGGAAAATTAAAGCTAACGAAAAGGAAAACGACCAGACCAAAACCAAGGCGGGCTTTTCTGGGTCGGGAGGCTCCCACAAGTCTTAATAGGGTCTTAATAGGTGATTGGTCAGCCCCGGTTGGGATTGGGGGGGGGGTGGGGGGGGTTTGGTGTGATACTCTTGGAAGGATCGCAGCCACTAATGACACCTCTGTCCGATGCCTTAACCCCTCTGAGGACGTCCCGAGTGGGAAGGTGTCCCTGTGAAGGCAAATGGAGGATTTGGTGCAGTCTGGATGTCCCTGCCCCCCCCCACACACACGTGAAGCCCCCCCCTGCTTTGGGTGGGAACCTGCCTCCAGGGTGAGAGAGGCACAGAGGACTGCCTTGAAACTATATCCTCAATATGTCACCTTGCCTATCCTCCCAACGGAAACGTGTATTACAGTTTTTGGGGTTTGGTTTGTTTTTTTTGTTTGGGGGGGACGGGGGGTGTTTCGTTTATGCTAATGTGAATTTGTTGAATGCAATTTTTTTTTATTTCTTCATTCCAAATAGCCATGGTTTTACAGGGAAACAGAGAGTAAACAAAAAAAGCTCGAGACCATGACTGCACTACGTTTGTGGACCTCCAGCTTTCCCTGATGAGACCCTGCCTTCTTAATACTGTACTTTAAATGTGCTTTTTACTTTAACTGTAGCTGCCTCCTGTGCTGCCCCCCCCCTCCACCTGATTTGTTGTTTTTTTTAAATCTCCACACACTCATCTTTTGTGCCATGACACCATCCACTCCTCCCTCTGCACACACACTCACACACACACACATGCAAGTCCATGATGATTCGACTCAGTGGTTGACTTCTTTTGGGGTTTTTTTGTTTGTTTATTTTTGTTTTTTTGTGGACCTGCTCCATCTGTAGAATGTTTTGGATGTTGCAAATGATCTCAATGAGTCAGTATGTAAACCTGCTTGTTGTATGTATCTACACTGTATAGCCTTTTCCTTTTTTTTTATTTTTGTTTTTACCCCCGGACACGTCAGTGGCGCCGGGGTCTAAGTTATTGTGTTATTGAAAGTACTTGAATATGAAAATCTATGGGACCTTTTTTTTTCTTTTTTTTTAAATTGACTTGGCTCATAGTAATACAACAAATAGGAGTTGACGGGAATAGGGGGGGTGGGGGGGCGTGGCTATTTGAATAACAGGTATTCATCTCCGTGACTCGTCTTAGTGCCTCTCTTTGGTAGATGACGGAGTCCAAGTCGGGTCACTGATTTTTTTTTATTTAATTTTTTTCTCGCTGTCTGACGTTGCTTTGGATACGAAAGTCTCCTTCTTGTGTCTGCTAGACATTAATCACATTGCCATTTTTAATCGTTTATTTTATTTTTTTTATTTTAAACAAACGCCAAACCTGTGACGTCAGCGGCCCGCCTCTCTGTCAGTGGAACTTCCGGTTCCGGTGGACTTCCGCTTCTCTCCAAGCTACCTGAGAAGTGTTAAGAGACGGTTATCTTTCTGGTTCTCCCCAAATTCCCCGAGTGCCATTTTCTGAGACTACTATTTGCCCACGCCTTCCAACTGTGCCAGGAAAATGATGAAGTTGAATGTCGTCGTCGCCGTTTGTCTTTCTGTCTCTTCATTTCCGCCGTGGGTGCGCGCGCTTACCCGGAAGTGTTGCAGAGTGTCGTTTTAAGTGCTCCACCAGTGATTTATTACTGTTTTTTTTTTCTTTCTTTTTTAAAGATAAATATTTGTTTTAAAGGTCCTCATGTACTATAAAGACATTTTTTTCCACTGTCTTTGTTTTCCCCCCTTCTTGTTTTTGCAGCTTGTCCCATCTCGGCCTCCGTTGTTGCGTACAGTGTTGCGGTCCCATCAGGAGGCTGATGGTGATGAATGAATGGCTCTGGTCTCTTTGGGTTCTCTGGCACTTTCTCCTCGTTGCTGTACTGTAGAGTTGTGTTGGATTTACTGTATATTTTTTTTTCTTTGAGGGAGAGGTGTAGGATGACATTTACTGCAATATTGCGATGATTATTTGAACTGTAAATTGTACAGAGTTCACAATTGTAGTCTTTGTTGGGAATTCATATAACAGATACATTCTTTGATTTTTTTTTCTTTATTCTTCTCAGACTGTGGAAAATCAGGCTGTACAGCTCCAAGAGTTTATCCTCCCCTCATTGTTTTTTTTTGTTTCTTTTTTGTTTTTTAGAGCTATGATTAAGAGAAATCCTAAAACTGTAAATAAATATTATTGTGTTGAAAAATGAATGTCACTTCAAAATGTATTTGAGTTAGTCAAGGGCTTCAAGAATGAAGGACCCTCGTTTCCTCTTTTTATGGTTTCATATGTTTAATTTGCAGAAAGGTAAAGGTCCTTTTTTTTTTTTTTTTAAATCTGGGATGACTTTTTTTCTCTTCCTTATAAAAATCACTTTTTATTCCCTCCACGCCTAAAGGGAAACTCCAGTTTGCACCCTTTTTTATGTCAAATAAAAGATCTCTCCACCTTGTGTGAATGTGTTACGATGGTTTTGTTATGCTTGGCTAATTTTTTGGATTAAAAAAACAAAACAAACACTGTTTCTATTGTAATTGCCAGACGAAGGAAGCCGTTTCTATTCATTCGATTTTAAAGGCATTTTATGATGATCTTCAAATTCGAAATAAAAAAGCTGCAGAAAGTAAAATCAGAAATTCAGGTCCCTCATTAACTGAGATGGTGGTTGTATTTATACCTTTGAAATGTAAACTGGTTCATATATTTTAGTCTTTAATTGATTACGCTATTCTTTTAGCTGGACACGTTTAGAACTGGAGGTGCAAGTCAAATCAACAAATGAAAAAAGCTAAATCCCCCCACAGAATGATGCTGACGTCACCATGTTTGACTACAGAAGCCTCATGCTGATTTAATCCACTTGCCTTTGGATATTTGATCTGATGATTTGGCTTCTTATTTCTTAGAAAATTTACTTCTCGTTGGCTTTAGTGAGGAATGGTTTAGGATCCTTCTGTAAAGTTAGCCGTCTCCACAAAGAAACTCATCGCTGGTCACCTGGCTCAGACTCGTCTATAACATCTGTTTGCAGGTCTAAATTTGATTTGAAGATAACAGAAACTGCAACTCTCTTTCCATTTTAATTTCCTGTCTTCAGCCAGATCTGTTGACCTCATGGCTTTGAATCCACTCACAATCAGATGTGAGTTCACACACTTGAACAAATTCACTGGAGTTGTTGAGGAGCATTCATTCATTACAAGGCATTAAAAACACTATATCTGATATAGCGTGAGCTAATATTTTCTATCTTGGATATAAAGTTTGAGTGCCAACATGTGAAACACTGTTTCTGTGGTGATTTTAAGCAGAAAACTCTTGGAAATCTTCCTTTTAGCCTCAGTTTAACTCCCCGCTGCAGTTCCGTCCTCCCGCCGCCAGGTGGCGCCGTGGCGCCTCCATTAGCCTGTAAACTACAAACATCCGGGTCCTCGCTGCCCCGCCTCTCTTCCACCGGCCAGAGTCAAGATGGTGGGTACAAATCAGACCTTTAGCTTCAGTTATCACACAATCCTCTCCAATCCGCTCCGTTAGTGGAAGCCCGGAGAGTTTAGAGGCGCCACTTCGCTAACAAACGAGCAGAAGAAGCTTTTGCTTTTGGTTTTGAGCCCCGATGTGGAGTTTAGTTCACACGAATCTAAAGATAAATAAAGAGGACAGCTAAGCTACATAGTAACCAGATATAAATGATATTTAGTCACTTTCACACCACTGAATATACAAAACATTGTCCGTAAATGGAGCTGCCTGTGAGGGCCAAAATAATGGAAATAATAGTCACGTGATCAGCCTTTAATTGAATTCAGTAACACCCGGAATTGAGTCATAATTAGAAAACGTAAAAGTAGAAAACAGAATTAGAAAGATTAAACATTGAGAAACTTTCCAATATTCAGTCACTGAATGGCCCCTTGAATTGGGTTTTTATTTTTTATTAAATCTTTGATGTAACTCTTAGTTGAGTTCATGTGATGGATAAGTGTGAGAGTTACAAATAAAAGCAGATTTGGACTCAAAATATCACACACGTTTTCCAAAAGTTTGAATCTGTGCGTTCTTGTGTTACGTCCTAACAAACAGTGACTTTCCCTGTTGAAACATCTCATTTTAAGTTCAATAGAAATCAGATTTTGGGACGAAATCATCCGAATTGAATCAAAGTGTTTTCCTCCTTTTGGCGGGGTTGCCATAACAACGGAGCGTGTTGCCATAACAACGGATTGGGCTGTGCCTCCCCTCAGGGGCGAGTCCGGACCAAGACGGTGAAGAAGGCCGCCAGGGTCATCATCGAGAAGTACTACACGCGCCTGGGCAGCGACTTCCACACCAACAAGAGGCTCTGCGAGGAGATCGCCATCATCCCCAGCAAGCCGCTGCGCAACAAGATAGCCGGGTGGGTCACGGGGGGCGGGGC